ATATATATATATACATATATATATATATACATATATACACATATAAATATATATAAATAAATATATATATATATATATATATACCGTATATATTCAAATTCAAATATACTTTATTAATCCCAAAGGGAAATTATTTGTTGTAGTAACTTGTTATCCTCATTTCATTGAGATGTTATAGATACTGATGACTGTAGGCAGGAAGGATCTCTTGTAAAGGTCCATCCCACAGTGGATCCTAAGAAACTGGCTGCAGATGTCGTCCGATCCGTCCACCCAGACTCAGCTGGCCTCTCGGTTCCCCCGGGCTGTAGGACCGCCCGAATGCTGGGCAGAACTCCTCCCAGAGCGATGGCCACTCCTCCCAGCAGCTCGCTGAGCTCCTCGTCACTGTGGACAGCCAATTGTAGGTGCCGAGGGACGATCCTGTCCTTCCTCTGTCATGAGCCGTGTTTCCTGCTAGTTCCAGGATCTCAGTGGTAAGGCACTCGAGCACCGCCAGCAGGTAGATGAGAATGCGTCCACAGAACATCCTTTTCAACTCATTTGAGATTTGGGGCTGTAGTTGAGATATTATTTGAGCTTTTGAGATGTTAATCAGCTGCTGTTGGTTGTAGAAAACTGCCTTGTTGCCTTGGTTACGCATCATAACAAATGTCCAAAACTAAAAAAGTTTCAGTAAAAATCCTTCCTGCTGCACAGCATCTGATACCAGAGGAAACAATCATCCAAAAAATGTGACTTACATCCAGAAAAAGAGGAATTAATGTTTCCAAAAACAAAATCTCAAAATGAATATAACAGAGCTGCTCCAACATGCAGCCACCTTGAGCGGCGCAATTCTAGAACTTATATATATATATATATATATATATATATATATATATATATATATATATATATATATAATATATAAAGTCATTTTTAATGTTTCCCACACTCGCAATATTCTAAACAATTTTTCTAAACTCTAAATGCTCTAAAAGAGCACAGCATGTCATGAAATCAGCTCTCTGCCTCCGCTGCTCTCTGCTCTCTGCCAGCATTTTTGGCCACACCAATTTCTCCGCTGCAGACACGCTGCATGAAGACGCTTCTCCTGCAGCTTAGCTGCACACTGTTGCTAAATAATTTAAAATAATTTAATTTAAATAAAAATTCCATGACGATCGTGTGGCTCATCCATCAATCAACCAATTGGGTCATATCCAATATTATGTTGAAAAAATGATGGTAGAGCGAGTCCGCAAAAAACGAACCACGAATAAGTGAGGGACTACTGTGTAACTTTATATTCTAATCTAATCCAATCTAACTGTATTTATAAAGCACTTAAAAAAACATACAGGACCAAAGTGCTGTACAGACAGATTAAAAAGCACAAAAGGAATAAATACACAAAAAAATTATTAAAAAGACAAAAAGTTATGCAATAAAAATTAAACCAATTAAAGGAGAATCAAATAAATAAGTAACAATAATGAAATCAACATCTCTGGTGTCAAAAGCCTGGGAGGAAAAAACAGGGTTTAAGATGGGATTTCAAACCAGACAGCGAGGCGACCTCTCCGATATGGAGAGGCAAACTCAAATAAACAAAAATACAACTTGCTTAAAGTGTTGAACAGTCCCACCTGATCTGACATTTGTTTCAATTGTATTATTTTTCACATTATTGTACACTCTGTACCTCATAAAGATGACGTCAAAAACAAAATGTTAATTCAGTTTTGTTGTCTTTCGGCTGCTCCGCAGGTGTTACCACACCAATCAAATTCACATGAAAGATTTGACAGTTGTTTTACGTTAATTGCGCTTCTTGATACAACTTGGGCTCAAACCTGCATCCTCATGAGTGCAAGACCGTGGCACTGAGCACTGAGCTAACAGACCAAATTTGATTCAGTTTTGTATATTTAATTAAAACAATCAGGAAACATTCAACTTGAAAATTAGCTCAGGTGTCCATACATCCCTCCATCCATTATCTTTACCCATTTCTTCTTTTTCGGATTGCGGGGGTCACTGGTGCCCATATTCACCCGTCACTGTGCGAGAGGTGGGGACACCCTGGACAGATCTTCAGTCCATCAGAGGGACACATAGAGACAAACGAGACACACAACCGTTCACTCTCTCTCACACACCTAGGGACAAATTAGTTACCAATCAGCCTAACATGCATGTTTTTGGTCTGTGGGAGGAAACTGATCACTAGGAGAAAACCCACGCATACACGGAGAGAACATGCAAACTCCACCCAGAAAGGTCCCCAGCTGGGATTTGATCTGGCGACCTTCTCACTGAGAGGCAACAGCTCTAACAAATGTGCCATTATGCCACTGCAAAGTACATATATACAACAACAAAAAACCTGTTCACCTGTGCTCAGGACCTCATACTGGGCAAAAGGTTCACCTTCCAACAAAACAATAGGCCAAAGCACACAGTCAGGACAACACAGCTGTGACTTATGGACAACTCTGTGAATGTAGAGGGGCCCACTGAGAGCTCCGAACACTGTCACGCATCTCTAAAAAACCTGAAAATGGCCATCCACTGATGATGTCTGAATATTCTTTTGTCACAGTAAATCTGTCTGATTCCTGGGTGTTGCAGATGAGCATTGGAGGACTTTACCTGAACTGTCCCCAATCTCTAAAATGAATAGGTAGGCCAAGCGAGAACAAACTGTGCAGCAATATTTTAGCCTTTATTTTTGGTTTTCCAAAATCTTGTTTTTTTTATTCAGTTGGGTTACTGGTATTTTCCAAAATGTCACTTTTGAAATATGACAATTAATCAGCGCCATGTTTTAAATCACAAAGAAGTCTTATCAAATCAATATCATTATCATTATTTTCAAGGGCTCTGTAATGGGTTTACTGTTTATCCATCCATCCATCCATTATCTTTACCCGTTTATTCCATTTTGGGTCACGGGGGTCGCTGGTGCCCATGTCCAGCAATCACTGTGCGAGGGGCGGGGTACACCCTGGACGGGTCGCAAGTCCATCACAGGGCCACATGGAGACAAACAAGACAAACAACCATTCACTCTCTCACTCACACCTAGGGACAATTTAGAGTTACCAATCAGCCTAACATGCATGTTTTTGGTCTGTGGGAGGAAACCGGAGTACACGGAGAAAACCCACACATGCACGGAGAGAACATGCAAACTCCACACAGAAAGGCCCCTGCACCGGGGTTTGAACCAAGGACCTGCTTGCTGAGAGGCAGCAGCTCTACCAGTTGCACTACCGTGCTGCCGGTTTACTGTTTATACTGATTTATCAGATCAGCTCTCAATAAAAAAAAAAAAATAGTTTTAAAAAACTGACAAGAAATCTCTGTTACAGGCTTTAAGAAAAATGTTGTAAACCTTACACCTCTTCTGAACCTCACTAACAGAGTAACGGACTACTGAAGAGCAAAAAAGCTGAACATCAAGAAAAAGCACCTCCACACACACACACGCGCACGCTCCCAAAAAAACTAAACAATTTTAAGGTTTCTTATTCTTTTCAATTTTGTAATTTTGTATTCTTGTCTTTCTCGTCAGGGTCAATTAAACACTTCAGTGCTCAAGAACTAGCTGCAGCGGCCTGATAATTTCTCCATCATGACCATAAATTTAGCTATTTTATGGGAAGTGCTTACCATTTTGTCATTACTTCTCCAAGCTGAGGCTGTTAAAGGCTAAAAGTATTGAATAAAATCTAAATTGCGGCATAAATCCATGGGTCTGCACCTCGACAGCTGCTGACTGCCCTCATAACTCTCTTTGACAACTAACACTGACAAAGATAAGGAATTTAACAAGCTATGTTTAGGGGGCTCGAGAGGCTAATTTTTTCATCCAATTATTATTTTTTTTTATAGAATAAAACAGAAAATCAATAGAAAAGAGTATTAAGGTTTCTTTAAAATCAAACATACTTTGATTTTAAATTGTTTTGAAAAACTAGACCAGTTTTTATCTTTGGATGGACTAGATCTTTGGAGTTACAAAGCGTCCTTTGAAAAATAAAACACTTTTATTTTAATTCATAAAGGAATTATTTGTAATAACAAGTCCAATTTGTAAAAAACTAAAATAAAATAAAATCACTAAAAATGCAAAATGTAACGTTTATTTAGATTTCATCCATACTGATCCATCTGTCTGTTTCCCTCTGGAATCCTTTCAACCAGTTTGAGTTTCTTCAAAGTAAATCGTAAATGGACTGAACTTAGCAGTGTAGCACCTTTCTATTTTATCAAGATACTCAAAGTGCTTTACACTACAGTCTGTGCCCTCATTTACCCATCCATACAACACTCCATTAGATCTATACAAAAACCAATCAGTGCTTTATCACATTCATACACCGATGGGACACACATCGGAGGTACAGTTGCATGCACTAAAAAATATCCGGCCCGAATTCAGGTCGGGCCAGGCCGAGCTTCATTAGAAATGACGGCTCTAATAGGAGGCATTGAGGGATTCAGTGTCTTGCCCAGGGACACTTCAGCATGTGACTGCTGGTGGAATCAAACCCCCAACTCTCACATTGGAGGACGACTGTTCTATCCACTCAGCCACAGTCGTCCAAAGTTTGATGAATTTTCTGCACATGTGATCAATCTGTAGAACATATAGTCTCTGGTTAAGAACAACCAGAAGATGTATACTTAAAATAAGGTTAGATAAAGTAAAATGAAAGAGCTCATTCTTTATTTTTCTGATTTATTTTTGTCATTTAAAAAACACTATTTTTAAAACTGCCCCCCCAAAATAAAAGTTCTGACACTTGTGAGGTCAGTGAGGGCCTGTAGCCAAACAGAAGAGGGGTTGAAATACTGTGCTGTACACAAAATCAGTGAAGAGGAACAACATTGACAAGGCAGGTAATGGGGCAAAGGGGGGTGGGGGCGTCAGTGGCAAAAAGAATGAAAAATACACTGAGGAACAGAAAAACAACACGGGCTTCAACCCAACCGGGCTCTGAACGAACCTTGATCCACCTTTTCGTGAGGCGGCTTGTGCTCTCCGTAATAAACTTTAGACAAGTTGAAGAACATGAAGCACAGACAGCATGAAGGGAAAAACAAAAACAATCAAAAATAATTAGGTCATGAATGGACTAAAATCAGACATAATAACTGTGAGAATGGATTAAAGTAACACCCACTCTTCTCTTTGTGAGTCAGCCACAATGAACTCTGCATAGGGCTGGTGTAACTGACTGTTTGAGGCTTTATTACTCACCCTGGCAGAGCCGTCCTCTTGAAGGCTGATGATGTCCAAATCAAAGACTCTCCTCAGGCCGTCTGTCTTGTTTAGAACAATGTGCCCCGTCAGTCCGTCCCACTGGGCCTATACAGACAAAGACATGCACAGAAAAACAAAAAGAGTAGCAGGAAGCCTTTTTTTTTTTAATCTGTAAAATGTACCTGACAGATCGGCAACACTGTTTCTGTGTTGGTAAAACACTTTACAGATCATAAAAACTGAATACAGACAGTCTAATGTGCAAGTGTTTTTATAAATGACAGAAAATGAACGTCACATTGTAGTAATACACAAACATGAAATAATTTGTTTAACAAGAAATTATAAAATAATGCATTCTGACTTAGAGTATACGTGGACATGCTCTTTTTAATCCAATAACTAAAGCCAAAGGTTTTCTGTAAATGTCCCTGGCTCTTTTTTCAAACCAAGCATGAGTTGTTTTTATCACTAACACTTTTTGAGCTCCAGAATTTCTTGTGAATTAAAAAAAATCACAAATTGTATTCTCTATACCTTGCAGCCAGTGGTGTAGTCTACTTTTTTGTAGTGTACGTATAAGGATAAGTCTTGTTGGTGGGTTAGGTTTAGGACTAAGGTGTGAATTGTGGATGGGTTATGGTAAGGGTCAGGGTTAGGCTATAGAAATTAATTTCAAATGAATGGAAGTCAATGCAAAGTCCCCATAAAGATAGAATTATGAGAATGTGTATGTGTGGGGGGTGTGTGTGTGTGGTGGTGGTGGTGGGGGGGTGTCCCTCATTTTCCCATCAGCACATTTGTCAGGTTTGATGTAGACTTCTGATATTCTATTTCAAATTCAATATACACTATTGCATTATTGTCAGTTGTTTTCATTGGACAACCTGGTTCCTATAAATAAAAAACAACTTAAAGATAAAACTGTTTCATTTTGTATGTGAATGGCAGCGAGATTTAGAAAATTGCACAGGAGCCGTCACCTAAACTTTTGCCTGGGGTGCCAAATGGACTGGGGCCGACACTTAGTGGAGAGATGATATTATACTCAGGTTCTTGGAAGGCAGTAGCCCTCTACTGGATGTAAGACTTGAGAAATCAAAACACCTGTGCATCAAAGGCCTCATTTCTGTGAGTAGGAAGCACTCTCACAGTTAAGCTAGGGCACATGCTTTCAACTTATGGGTACATAAATGCTGCGTAATTCATTATAAGAAGGGACCTTTACACTATCAAAACATTGAAACACATGACATGATCTAGCACTGCATCTTTGCAACATTTCAAATCAAAAACTGGGGCATAATGAATATTAAATAAAAGTACTCATACGCATCATTAACAATGTACATTCATCAAGCAAAAAGCAATGAAAGCAGCTAGCGATGACGCAGAGCTCTTGGCTCGGAGACGTGTGACCTTTTCTGACCTTTACCTCTTTGAATAAGTTCATGAAGCGAGGGCCGAAGCGCCACGGTTTGTGGCGGTGACACTGCAGCGAGCTGACCGTCATCTGAGTGGCTCTCTGGGATGCTACTGCAACCATGTACACCGCATCATACATCAAGGCTGCATCTGTCTGCACAGGAGGCAGGGAGGGAGGATTTTGTTCACACAGAAGCACAAGTAAAAGTGTAATGTTACAAGAGAGCATATTTAGAAATGGAAAAGAGATAAGATGAGAGTCCTAATTTGACCCTATGCTTACAGTCATGACTCCGTCCAACAGACCACTCTCTTGTTTGGGACCCTGCACTCTGTCCATGGACCACTTATCGATGGTGGATGCAACCCAGGGGTCATCAAAGTTCAGCAGCCTGAAACCTGTCATGTTGACCCCACTGTAGCGGTAAGGCTCCAGATCCAGAGCAAACAAATCCTGCCAGACAAGAGAGGAGAGGGTGGGGGGTTGTGGGGGTTAATTGGAATAAAAATAGTTTTGAAATTTCCCTGTCAATTAAAAGTATATTATTCAAAATTAGCATCAAGTAGAAAATAACAGTAAGAGTCAAAATAACTCCATGTGTTGTTAGTTTTACTTTTTACTTTGTGTTGTACATTTAATTAAACAACTTCAGTAAAAAAACTAAAACTCACCAGTGTTGTAAAGAAAAAGTGATAGTACTCTGTCATCATTCCCATTGATGAGAGCTGGGAAAACACAAAAAGTTATTTCGTTATAGGATACTGCAAATTTACTTATTTCAAAATATATATTTTTTAAAAACTATGTTTATTTTGATTTGTTGTAAAAAATAAAAAATAAATTAAGTGTATATAAAAATAAATGGAATTAAATGAATTTAGCTTTTGTACCAAGTTTAGTCTCCGGAAACAAAACTTGGTACAAAAGCTAGATAAAATATCTCTCTTTCTCTCTCTATCTCTCTCTCTCTCTTTATATATATATATATATATATATATATATGTTGTTGTTTTTTTTATTCCAGAAACTTAAAGAGGTCTATCTATCTATCTATCTATCTATCTATCTATCTATCTATCTATCTATCTATCTATCTATCTATCTATCTATCTATCTATCTATCTATCTATCTATCTATCTATCTATCTATCTATCTATCTATCTATCTATCTATCTATCTATCTATCTATCTATCTATCTATCTATCTATCTATCTATCTATCTATCTATCTATCTATCTATCTATCTATCTATC